CTACACAATGACATGAGGTGGCAAGCTAGCGCTTTTGTAATCCTAGACCAGTCAAGCAGCAATCAACCAAACCCAAGATGACGGAGGGTCTGGTTGGCCTGATCGGATATTGATTCGGCCCTTACCTCATAACTACTTTTTCCGGAATACTTCTACCGTCAAACTTGCTCGTCATACACTAATATTCACTTTGAGAGCCAATGTCAATCACATGCGTGCCTAGTGTTTGCTAGAGACCAAGAAACCAGAAACACTTTTTTACGAGTGTTTCTGGAACGATTTCCCAAACCTGCTTTCGAGGAGCTTTTTGGACTTGGCTTCATTATGGAGCTGTGAAAAACTCAGAGACTGAACAATGAAAGTTACCTCAGCTCCATTGTTGACTTTTGGTGGACGCCATGAAACGGTTGCTGTCTCGCAACTGATGGCTTCGAGGCGGAGCGATTGGGGCACTGTACATGGCTCTAAAATAGAACATTCATTTATTGTCTGAGAGGCTAATTTCCAACTAGGCAGATGTAGGATGATCGTTTTTATGAGGAGCACGTTCGTGGAGGTTCCATATTGATTGTCTTACCTGTATACTCTTGGGCCTTCGCGGATTTGCTGGAACCATACCGTGTCGTTGTAGTCAGGCTGAATTCGTAAAGAGTGAACGACTTTAAGCCGGTGACCAAGTACTTCTCTTCGTTAATGAAATCCACGCGCACCACTTGATTTCTCCGCTGTGGGGTTCTGTAAGATACTGGAAATGAGTTGTGCACAGAGGATACTGAGAAACCAAACTTCTCTAAGAGTGCTGGAAGCGACTTGTAACTTTGGTCTACGAAGCTGAGGGTACTCGTATTTTATATACATTAGTAAATGAGCAACCCTGAACGATATATTTCATACCCTCATTGCACTTCCCATTCGCTGTGGCTTCACGGAACTGGAATGGCTCAATACAGCAACGTTCACAAGTTATTTCCAGCCATATTCGTGAACCATGAAAAGCGTGGGCTGAGACTCCAACTCGCCTTATTAGTTCGCTCAGGCTTGAACAAACACTTCTTCGCCTCCTCATCAATTAGATCGTCCTGTTTCGTACATAANGAACGATATATTTCATACCCTCATTGCACGTCCCATTCGCTGTGGCTTCACGGAACTGGAATGGCTCAATACAGCAACGTTCACAAGTTATTTCCAGCCATATTCGTGAACCATGAAAAGCGTGGGCTGAGACTCCAACTCGCCTTATTAGTTCGCTCAGGCTTGAACAAACACTTCTTCGCCTCCTCATCAATTAGATCGTCCTGTTTCGTACATAACTTCACTTCATAAGTACTAGCACTACGACTGCTACTGAGCACTTTGATCCTTTTAAATTGAAAAGGCTCGAGACTCCTTTAACTCGGAAAATATCCATTCGGAACTAGCCGTCTTATCATGAGATCAAGAAGTTGAGTAGTTCGCAGTCTTCACTTCGTAAAACTATTTTGGTCCATGTTAAAATCCGGAAATAATTGAGTTGCACAGTCGACAGAAGCACAATTTGACCAGAAAAATGTTTTATGACGCTTTCACATTACATCTTTTCCATGAGCACAACAAATAATCTTAGTGGCAAAGGTTTTGAAAAAGAATTTTCCGGAACGGGAGTCCTATGGAAATGGGAATTTGCAAAAGTTTCTCACTTTCCATGTAATTAGCCCACAATATAAGCGGAACAAAGCCCGCACTATATACGCCGCATAGATGACGTTGTATTTAACAACGGGCCTGCATACTTCTCTGCATCACGCGGTGAAGGTCATACCATCTTTCGGCTGATTGTTGTGATGCCAACTTACTTCTCTGCTGAGCGTACGTCGTTTTCGCTTCGAAGGGTTCTACGCTATCTTTTTTGGATGGCAGAATTTCAAAATGCAACAAATTCACATGAGGATGAGTGGTAGTGGAATATTTTTAATTTTATCAGGGGTTTGTTTCTCCCCTCAATTACCACAGTTACAATCAAAAATTTATAGAAGATCAAACAATCTGACAGACCGTCAGAGAAATTGATACCAATTTATATCGCATATAATGCCAGGTTATCTTTAAACTTGTTGCTCTGACCCCAGCTGGCAATATTTTAAAGTATAATATATATTATCATACCTCCACTGATCACTTTACCGAAAGTCCTTTTTCACAGAAAGTCCCGCTGGAAGCGAGACTACGAGGCGCTACACGAGGATAGAAAAACAAGCTCTCGGCTAAAGTATCTCTAGAGATGCAGGATTCAGGGACTGGATACCATGTCGCTGCTGTGTTGAGTCGACTTATACCTTCTGCCTACTCGCAGGGTGATCCATACTTGCGTTTGAGAAGACGGGTGCTTAGTTTGCAGCACATCGGCTCAGTCAAAAGCTCTGAGTGACTGGAAATTACTCGAAAGGTCACTCGGTGGCTTCCCTGATCAATAAGTCCCTTGCGATTCTGGAACAGCCGAATTTGCTACTTGGAATCTACACAGTCTCACGTCAGACTAGCTACTCGTGGGAACCTATATGCCAAAAACAGTGATATAAATGGGTCTCATTCTTGTGAACCTGAGGAAGTATCCAGTACGGCACCATTGCGTAGGACCCCCCGGGAGAGGTTGCTAAAATAACAGTGCCACACAACATCGATTACTACGAAGCCTTGACAGTCCGGATTGAGGAGTTGCTGAGATTCAAGACCGAGATGAGTCCCAATCGTCGCCCTGACGGATTAATTACTGAATTTCGGAGGGCAGTGGAGAAGGTCATATAAGGGGGTCTTCGCCAAGGTGAACAGAGAAATTCGACATAGCGACCACTACCACTTCGCCTAAACCTTTCATCGCTGCTCTTGAAAGTATCATGTGTCATTCAGAATGGGAAGACATGGGAGTGAAAGCCAATGGTTGCTACATAACCTCTGCTACGGAAAAAGAGCGCCCATAAGACGAATCTTCAAATGCTGAGTGAATTCGACAACGCTTGTGTTAAGATCGGCGTGCGATTGATATCACTCAAAGCTTTCGGTACGTGTATTCAGGTCGAGAAGTCAACATGATGCACGGCCGAGCCCCGGAACTGATGTGAACACAAGGAAACGCGCAGCATGGTGTGACTTCGCGAATATCGAGGGAGAAAGCAGTATGAGCATGCGGTGGGCGTCGTTCGACGTGCTCCAGGAAGGACGATGGCGAAAGTTTAACGATACAACAAATATAGAGAAATGCGAGGATGCTCCGGTACATGCCAATACATCGAAGATCAAATGGGCTGGACACATCACGCGGTCCACAGAACCACCCTAATCGGAGCCCTCGGAAGCACTGAATACCTCACAAAAGTTGCGTTGGGTTGGAAATAATCGGCACATCACATGACTAATAACGTTCTATCGCAGGCAATCAGTACTTTCAGTCGAAAGTAGTTGAAATGTGTGTGCGAGTTATCGGCTAACGTAGAAGAAGCATAGAGGTTGCAAAGCAGTCGAAGGCTTACAACGAGTTTGAAATTGCATCAATTTCTTATTGATCTCTTGTTATCAGAATTCTATTCTCACCACGTCGGCCATGGTCGTATTGGATAATTTACTTCCAGAAAACACAAGATTTTTACCTTGGCTTGTACGTCAGCGTGTACCAGTAGCGCTTTCCTTCGTCGACATACAATGGTGCACACCATCTGAGAAGCACTGAATCGGCAGTGGCATGGGAAGCGACCAGATTCCTCGGACTTCCTGGAGAGTCTGAAAGAGTTGACATAAGAGCACGAGGACGAAGGAGATTCTGATTACATACCTGGCAACATTTCTGGCACATTCTGGGCGAGATGTTTGAGAGCTGAAAGAATTGTATAATACTGTCGAGCTATACACACGAATGAAGGCCCACTACAAGCTACAAAAATTAGACGAAGGCTCACCTCACAATAATTCTGCGGAACCTATTATGAATTGAATAACGGAATTGATGGTCAGATAGCCTGCATCATGCAGTAGCGAAGAAATTGCGATTCTCCGCGGAATACGGGAAATGTAAAGTATGCGAAAAATCACAATCAAAGCAGAGAATTATGCAAGTTTATGAAAACGGAGGTGTCAGAGATGTAAAGAAGGGAACTTGAACGAGATTTTGTTTGTGTGCGTAAAGGGCTGGCTACGGTATGCAAGGATTTCAAAGACTGACTCACAATGTCGCCATTGGTCAAGACTGCATGCATTCAAATTTCTAAGATTCTCATGCTGTCACTCCCCGTCACTACTTTGTTGTTGTTGCAGTTATCCTTTCGTAGTGTTGTTAATTGCTCTCCTCTAAGCTGTATAATTTTCTAACATATCTGCTCCATTGTTAGTCGTGCAACCTCTACAAGACAGCTCAGATAATCTTTGAATGCCTATTATTAGGGTTATGCATAACTGCTGCGGATTTTTTTTGACAAATTTTATTTTAAAACGACAGAAATACTGAACAAAAAATGTTCAATTAATTACTCCTGTCCACCACCTACATGAGACACTGCTTTCCATTTGCTAGGCAGTCGGTTTCTCAGGGCGGATAATTTTCGATTATTTGAGGCGATCCGCGCATTGACGTCGGCCATCAAGTCAATCATTTCGTCGTAAATTCTGTTAGCTTGCCAATTTTTCAGCGAATACGGTAGATGTGATAATCCATAGAGGTTTCTATCGAGAATATGACGGATTTAGGAGAGGACCCCATTCCTTACTTGGCTTTGGCTGACTGTTCCATCGCGGAAAAGTTCGTTAAGATCGCGATATGTCTCTGCCACCTTCCAAACTTTTTCGAAGTAGTAGAGCGTAATGTGGCGAATGTGAAGATGACTTTCTAGACACACATCTGTAGAGGAAAGCGAGAAGATTATTTCTATGAAAATCCCGAATTTTATGCTCAACTTATGTGGAGAGAAAAGAAGCAGCGAAAAATCCGCAGTAGTTATGCATCAACCTAGTACGTTCTTCAATACCACTATTTCGTGGTCAGCCGACGGTTTGCGACAGGCGAATTCGTCGCAAACCGTTGTTTTGATAAATTTTCCATCGAAATGCTGTAAATGGTTGGAAAAAAGATAGATGTGGAATTTTCGATCTTTTCCAAATTTTCGCTTCATTTTCCCAAAATTCAAGCATTGAACCTCCAAGTGGCTGAGGTTTTACTTGCAGCTATAACAGCATCCCGGACCTTCCCTTCAAATGGAAACTTTGCTCTTATTGTTCGAAGCCAGCTGTTAGGGCTCTGCCATTAGGGGTATAAAAGTGATCATTTTTATATGCTTTCCTCGAATATAGGGTCGCACATATCTTTCAAATGCTGTAAGCAAGATTTCCAATTAAAATGAAATTTAGGATGCTGTTATATCCTCAGGTAACACCTTGTGTGTCTGGAAGCTCAATCAGCGATCTTACTAGATATGAAGACGAAAACTAGAGAAAATAGAGAATGCATCGAATGATGCTTTATAAATATTCCTTAAGAGCGGAGCGTCTCGCTTATACATATGGTTTTCAACTTGGTCGAAGCGAAAGGCATGACGAAGCGCTGGTTCGTAACGAATAATCCTGCCGCAAACCACCGTTCAAAAAAGAAGTTTTAGCAATATTGTATCTGAGTCATTCTTCGACCAGACGGCTGCCCTTGCGCTATCCCTGGAACCGTGGATTCATTCATTTCAAACTTAGAGCTACTACAGCTTCTACAGGACAACGTAAGTAAAACAAATCTTAGGGTACGTCTTTGGTAGATATTTCAAGATACGCATACTTGGAGTAACATATTCTGGACATTCTTCTGTTCGGTTTTCAGTTCGGTAATTCAGTTCCCTTGTTGCGGAGTGAATGTGATAAAATATCATGGAGATAATATGATTCTAGATGTTTTAGAATTAACAGAGCATTCTCTGCTCGCAACTCTTCAGCCAGGGCTTGATACCAATCCCTTGTTAACAATAAATTCGAAGAAATGATGTCCAGTGTGAGCAAGCGCATCGTCATAATAGAAGACCATTCTGTTCTCTATGTTTCAACCTTATGTTTTGTCAGCTGCTGTTACGTCACCGGAGTACGCGATTCTGTTCTTTTGTTTTTTTTCAGTCGCTACGATAATTTTGGAGAAATTCAGACAGTTTGAATTTCATTGCTTTCGGGAAGTATATTTGGACCTATTGAGCTAAGTTCCACATTTTACCGAGCTTTTGCAGAAGCTCGGAGGACGGGCAACCGTTGATTGGTTGAAATGGAATTTTTTTGCTCAGCACCCGTTTCGTCAAGCTCCAACCTTCCTCCAGGATCTAAATATTTTAGATTGTCAAAAACTGATAATCGGTTTTTCCTTTATTGTGGTCCAAGCTGGTTTCCTCGTGTTTGGAGCGCTCAAAGCACTTCCGACATTTTCTTCCACCGGATTTTCTATCGACGAGAAGATCGTTAACATCTGTTGACTAGGCAGCCTTCCACTTTCTTTCGTAGTGATATAGCATAACATGGCTAATGTGAAGCTCATTCTCAGCAAGCATTCTTATATGTCGATATGTAGGGCATTTCCGTTAGGTATAGTAGCAACTAGAACGAGAATTCACTAGCAAAAATTCTGGTCTTAGAAGACGGCGGATGAGATTTTAGATGTGGTTTTGAAACTGAGACCCAAAAAAGGGCAGTTCCAATAGCGACACTCGACCTTGCTGTTTTTTTTTGAACTTCACTCCGCTCCAGCTCATTCCAGGTTTCATTCAGCCCTTTCACTTGAGCATGATCACTGTGATAAAGTGAATGAGTTTTCTAGTTCTCACATCACTGAACAAGCCACAGAAGTACATATTTTCCCGTTTGAACTCTATTCAGTCAGGCCACTGTGAAGGGCTAAGATGTATTATGTAGTCTAACATTACTTTCAGATCTTCTGCAATATTTCGTTTACAAAAACAGGCGCCATAAAACGGAGCGGGTTTGATGAAGCGTTTGAAGAGATGTTCTTATTTGAAGCGGCGCAAACCTGTGAAACGAATGTGATGCAGCGCGGTAACAGTCTCGAAAAGTTTCCGCATGGCTTCTCTTTTCATAGCCTCAATTCGTCGCTGTTGTACTTCTTTCAGCCATGAAAGCGGATCCTGCAACGTATTTTTCGTTGGGCACATCAGTTCCATTGATAAAGGACGTTGTGCAGTGAACAAAAGAAAGATATGGTGGCACGCGGGAAGGAGTTGAAGGAGGCAAGGTTCACAGTTCTGGAGTGATGAAGTCAAAGAGTCGTGAAAAAAAAAGAAAAAAGACGCGTACGAGCAATGGCATGAGAGCTTCCCATAGGAATTCCAAGAGACTCATCTAGGCTGCTGTTTTTTACGAAAAGCTCGATAGCAAAAAAGAGAAAGGAGAAAAATTCGTCTACTGACTGATCACAGCCCAACACTGTGCTACCCAAGATTAGGAGCAGGGGAGGCTGTAAAGAACAGCGAGAGTGCAATTTTGAAAGAACCAACTGAGGTTAAGCGCAAGTGACAAGAACATCTCGGTGAGCTTTAAAATGAAAATTTCAAACGTGAGAACAGCCCTCAAACAAAGGCGACGGCTAGCCCCATCGTACTTCGGATAGATAAGGATCGTTTTGCGCGAAGAAGCGTTGCAACTACCGAGGGATTGAGTGACTGCACGCACGATGGACGTTTTCGAGCGCTAGTCGACTCAAGACTGAGGGAGCTGATTCCGATGTCACAGGTGAAACACTATGGGTGTCATATTCGTAACCAGACAAAAGAATGAGAAGGAGAGGAGATGGAAAAGTATCGAGGTAAGCGTGGACCTTGCTACCTAGTTTTTCTCGATCTGGGAAAAGCGTCCTAATGTCTCACACAACTCTCTCACTTCGGAGAGCGCTCTGAGAACGAAACGTTTCAGATCACCTTGTCACCATGGCGAAGAACAGCGGGTTAAAGACAATTA